CCCCAAAACCCCAAAACCCCAAAACCCCAAAACCCCAAAACCCCAAAACCCCATTTGGTACCTTGCTGGGTGAGAATTATACAATAATTATTCAAAAATGTCTAAAGTTCAGATACCTCCCGATGAGATTAAGGAGAAGATCGACGCTATTGCTGAGTTTGTGGTAAAGAAGGGGAGGAGAATAGAAGCAGAGATCTTGAAGAAAGAGGAAGGCAACGAATTTTTCGACTTTCTTAAAGACCAATCTCATGAATATCATCCCTATTATGAAATTAAATTGGAAGAATACGCTAAAGCAAGCGGTCTTCATGTCCAGAGACGAGTTCAGAAGAGAGAAGAAGAGGCTGAAACAGAGTCTAAAGTTAAGAAAGATGCTCGGACAAAAAAGAAGACTCAGGAAGATTTAAGAAAAGAGATGTTCAGGAAGAAAGTACTAAAGGCTCCTCCTGCTGATCAATTTTCCATCCATCACCCAGAACTGCATATCCTCGATTCTGAAATTATGAAGCTTACTGCACAATTTGTCACTAGAAATGGGCAGAGGTATATGTCTACACTACAGGAGAGGCAGCACAATAACCCTCAGTTTGATTTCCTGAAACATACTCACAAGCTATTCGGATACTTTACAAGTTTGTTAGACTCTTACTCTAAGACCTTTGTGCCTAAAAATGAGTATATTAACAAGCTCAAGAAGTTCAGCGGGAGCCAAACCGCCATCCTCGAGCACTGCGGGGCTCGGTTTGAGTACGAAAGGCAACAAATTAATGAACAGAAGGAAAAGGAGAAGAAAGAGAAGGAAAATAAGAACAAGCCTGAAGAGTTTGACGATGACTTCGAAGTTGACTGGGATGATTTTATCCTAGTACAAACTATTGAGTTTGAAGAGGATGATGACCAGTTCATGAAGCCTGACCTCCAACAACTAGGAATTGAGGATGTTAGTAACAAGATTGACAGAACTCAGCAGAGTATTAAGCGTGACCTTTCGAAACTTGAGCAGAATGTCAAGGAGTCAAATGAAATTGAACCAGGCATGAAAGTTGTGACTAATTATCAGAAGAAAAAGAAAGTTAATAAAGAAGCTACCCAGATCTGTCCTAAGTGTGGTAGGCAAATTCCAATGAGTCAGTGGAGCGAACATATGAGAATCGAGCTGCTTGATCCAAAATGGAGAGAGGAGAAGGTCGATAGTCTTCATAGACAGAAAAATCCAATGACTGCTCAAGGAGATGAAGTGTCAAAATCTTTGACTAGATTCATCTCTAAAAGGCCTGATATCTCAGGAGTTGATGCTAATCAAAGAGTTGAAGAAATGACCTCAGAGCAAGAAAAAATGGATCCAAATAAAATTATTTGGGATGGTCATTCAAGCTCAATCACTCGTACCACAGCTAACTCTGCAATGCTCGCTCAGCAGCAGAGAAGAAACCTAGAAGAAACTATGAGGAACAGGCCCGATGTTTATCCTAATGGTGCTCCAATGCCTCCATCTGGCTTCCAAATCCCCCCTCAACCTCACTTCACTTCCATGACCCAGTCACAACTAATGGGATACCCAGCTGTGCCTCCTCAGAACCAAAGGAACCAGGGTAACCAAGGACCTCCAAGGGGTTTGATTCCTCCTAAGAAGGCGCAACCCCAAAAGAAGCAACAATAATTTACTGTACTCAACTCTAGTCCAATATTTCGGGGTTTTGGGGTTTTGGGGTTTTGGGGTTTTGGGGTTTTGGGGTTTTGGGGTTTTGGGG